GGATGTCTAATTTGAAACTGTTATGCTTGTTTCAAAAATACCAAACTTATTATCTTATAGCAGTGGTTCTCAAACTTGATTATACATTAGAATCACCTGGGAAGCTTAAACAACTTTCCTGATGCTGAGACTGTACCTCGACATTGTCTTAAACCCTTTTGGGTTGGGACCCAGGCATCAATAGCTTGTCAAGCTCCCCAGGTGATTCCAGTGTGCTCCCTGTGGCATCTTACCTGGGCTATAACACATGTAAGGAAACTGAACACTATAAATTGCAAGAAGAAATTGGTCCCAATAGATCAATAATTTGGCTTGGTGCTTTAAAAATGGATATTTTGAAAAAGTATCTTCAATAAATAATAGTTTAAGAACTCATACACTCTAAAAATAGAGTAAAAATGCTGTGCAAGTCAATTTTATTGTTTTGAATTCATTATTAAGTAAAACCGTTGTTTCATACCCAACTGAATTGAATTTCATGCCCTCGTCGAGGTTCCTCCATTAGGAAGGTAAAGGCTTTCATAGCACAGGACAGGGGTGAACGTGCCACTCCTATTGGAAGCCAGCTTCTCAGATGCCACAGGTGCAGCAGGCCGAATGTTTTAATACCACTTCCACCCCTGGGAATTAAATTCATTCTCAGTGAAAAAGGATTCATAAATCCTGGCCCTGCCTTCCAAACAGTAGCATGATTTCGCCAGGGTGATAAATTGCTCCTATCAAAGCAGACATCGAGTCTCCCAGGGAAATAACGGGTTCCAACAGAACAAAGTGTAACATCTTAAGCGCTTACGAATGGGGACGAGAGCTGAAAAATCAAGTCTTGGGAAATCAGTGACTGTATTTTTTTTTTTTTTAGATCCCTTTCAACCTCTCTTTAATTGTAAGAGGTACATAAGAGCAGATGAAATGGATAATGTGATTAACTTTAAATGAAAAAAATCCATCATAAAAATGTCCCCCAGAGCATGTTTGTTGAAGAGGGTGGGACTGGGCTGGGTTGGGTGCTTGCTGGCAGGGTGTATGGGGTTATCTTTTATGGTCTCCCTGGCGAGCTGTGGGCAGGTGGGGAAGTCAGCTGTCAGGGGAGGTGATTTACAGAGGCCTGAGAGGCGCTCCCGCCCTGAGATCCCTCCTGCTAACCGCCCTAATTACCTGCAATTCTCTCCTGAGGAGGGATGAAGTCAGAGAGGCCCTGGGGGTGACAATGAAAATGTTACCTGGACAGAAAAAAAAAAAAAAAAAAACCCAAAAAACACCATTAAACCATTTTCAGCTATTAGCAATGAATCTTAAATCATTCTCCCAAATAACCAGCTGGCCTGGAAGTTGGCCTAGTAATAAATGAAAGAATAGAAGTCCATTCTGGCCACTTCTCCTTTCCTGCTTTCTTCGTGTGCACCTTTTCCTGCACAGACCTTAGGTTTTACCAGATAAGGATGGTAGCCTCTTCCCCAGCTCAAAGTGTGTGTTCAGTTCCAAGGCTGTTTGCTTGGTCTGGAGCTGTTACTGGAAAGGGGTCCTGATCTAGACCGCGGGAGAGGGTTCTTGGAGCCTATGCAAGAAATAATTTGGGGCGAGTCCACAGAGTAAAGTGAAAGCAGTTTATCAGAGAAGCAAAGAAATAAAAGAATGGAGTACCCTAGACAGAGTAGCCCTGAGGGCTGCTGGTTGGCGATTTTAATGGTTATTTCTTGATCATATGGAAAACAATGGATTATTGGTGAGTCTTCCTGGAAAGAGGTGGGGATTTCCTGGAACTGAGGGGTTCTCTTCCTTTTGGACCATATAGGGTAACTTCCAGACATTGCCATGGCATTTTTAAATGGTCATGGCAGTGGTGGGAGTGTCTTTTAGCATGTAGAGGTTTATAATAGTGTATAATGAGCATTGAGGATGACTGTCTTGGTTTTAGTGGGTTTCGGCCAGCTTCTTTACTGCATCCTGTTTTATCAGTGGGGTCCTTGTGACTTGTGTCTTGTGCCACCCTTTTGTCTCATCCTGTGACTTAGAATGCCTAACTTCCTGGGAATGCAGCCCAGCAGGTCTCAGCCTCATTTTACCCAGCCTGTATTCAAGATGGAGTCACTCTGGTTCAAACGCTTCTGACGGAACTCACTTGAACTCACCTGCTGGAACCTGATTTTGCTATTTCCTTGCTAGGAAGCTTTCTCAGATATGCCCAGGAGACTAACTGCTGCTTTCAGAGCTGTTCGCTTGTCTTCTAATGCTTATGGGAGCACAGGTGACTCGTATTCATATGTGTACTCATTCAACAAATATTTACTGCCATCCTACCATGTTCCAGGCATTATGCCACATATCTGGGATAAAAGGAGAGAGCCAAGATCTAGTCCTTGGAGATGCCCAGATGACTATGCCTTGAGTCTAATTCCAATTACATTGTGAGGCTGCAGGGACCCCTGGGCTCTGGCTTACTGCAAGCTCTGCCTCCCAGGTTCACACCATTCGCCTGCCTGAGCCTCCCGAGTAGCTGGGACTACAGGCGCCCGCCATCACGCCAGGCTAATTTTTTTGTATTTTTAGTACAGATGGAGTTTCACCGTGTTAGCCAGGATGGTCTTGATCTCCTGACCTTGTGATCCGCCCACCTTGGCCTCCCAAAGTGCTGGGATTACAGGCGTAAGCCACTGAGCCTGGCCAATCCGTTCTTGTTTTCTTTAGATAAATTCTTAGTGGTAGAATCGCAAAGAGAAGGGTTGTGTTAACTTTTGAATATATGCTGCCAAACTGCTCCTTTCCCAACAAGCAGAGATTGTAACAATTTGGTACCTCCAAACCCAGCAATGAGCAGCCAAGGGGAACTGACACAATACTGAGGAAGAGGAGAAAAGATCAGATGCAGTGAAAGGAGACAGGGAGGCGGGGTAAGGAGGAGCCATCCCAGCAGCAACCCCCTGGCTGTTGTTCAGCCTGTTGCCTCAGGCTAAAGGGACATTATAGGTCATGGATTTTACCCAGCTATGTCATCTAAAGTTACTGACGTTAAATAAATGCTCACTTTTCGTTTGCTTCAAATTAAAAAAATAATACATGCCTTTATTGTCTTTCTCTGCTAAGCCAAGCCTGAGGCTTGTGCCAGCTCTTTCCATGTAGAAATGTTAGATGAAATTCCAGTGCCATCAAATGAGACCTTTATTCCTCCACCTGCACATTATGACTCTAATAAACACGTTATCAGCTCATGAAAATGATGGCAAACAGGTGACTGAAGGATTTGATAAGTCAGCAGCAAAGATTAACAGTTCTTTTCAGAGAAAGCTGTGAGAGGTTCCCCTATTTAAAACAATTGTGGCATGTGAATTTGCAGCACTTAAATCATTATCGGCAATTAGTCCTTGTCAAAAAGGTTGCAGCTGGCTTCAATTACAGGTAAGAATTTTACAATTTAAACTTAGTAGTATGTCTGATAAGTAGGACTTGGAGGAACACCCTCAGGGAGATTTGCAATTTGAGAAAAACTTAAAGGCATTTCATAATTCAAAAATTCATTATTTTCAGCAATGCTTTGTTATTGACATCTATTATTAGCTTCTAGAAAAAATTTCCATAAACTTCATCCTTCGTCTGTTTTCTTCCCTAACAGAAAAATTACTGATGATTAAAAAATTGCTTTTTAAATTATAAAAACACTACATGCACACTATTAAAAAAAAAATCCAAGCAGCACAGAAGGATACAAAATAAAGTAAGTCTCTTTCTAGACATCTCCCTATTCTTGGACACCGATGCCCCAGAGATAAGTACTTTTGCTTTCAATTGTTTTAGGCATTATCATTATAACTTCATCTCAAATTATTTTTACCTTATTCTTGATCAATCAACTTTGGAAAGTGTATATTAACTCCTCACTAGGAAAGATAAAGAGTTTAGGGCCCTTCCGTACTCTATCGTCTCTCTTTCATGTGTTGATTCTTGCTGATTACGTTTATTGTAAAATCTATCTGTAAACTTTAAGTAATATGCTTCTCTTTTCTTGACCCTTCAGCTTTAGATCTGTACCATTCTAATAGTGGACATTATTGTTATTACCTATTATGATGGGTATCTCATTGTTTTAATCCGCAATTCCCTAGTGACGCGTGATGTTATATGCTTACTTACCAGCCGTATATCTTATTTGGTGAAGTGTCCACATCTTTTATCTGTTTTTCTATTGCGCTGCTTGCTTTCTTGTTGTTGAGTTTTAAGAGTTCTTTGTATATTTTGGATCACAGTCCTTTATCACGCATGTCTTTTGCAGATGCATGTTTTTCCAAGGCTGTGGCTTGTCTTCTCATTGTCTTGACAGTATCTTTTGCAGAACAAGAGTTTTTAAAGTTTTAATGAAGTCTAGCTTATTAATTATTTCTTTAATGGATTGTACCTTTGGGGTCGTAGTTCCATCAACTGTAGATGTTATCTGTTGGTGAGAAAATTAACACCCTTATACATCCTCCCTCTCTTTCCTTTTTGGTTGGCTATGCCGTTATTTTTACATCATTAAGATTTAAAATATGTGTATGTTTTACTGTAACTATAATTAAATTTTCTATGCTTCTAAAATCTAGGATAAAAATAAAGTTAAAATATAGCATTTCTTTTATTATGATTATTTAAAAATGTTCACTGCAAAACAAAGTAGTTTTATGTCACTGAACAGTGCCATTTGAAGGATAATCTTCTGAGGATCAAGATTAAATGTATTTTTACTTTTCTTTTCTTTTTTTTTTTTTTGGAGACGGAGTCTCGCTCTGTCGCCCAGGCTAGAGTGCAGTGATGCGATCTCAGCTCACTGCAAGCTCCACCTCCTGGGTTCACGCCATTCTCCTGCCTCAGCCTTCGGAGTAGCTGGGACTACAGGCGCCCGCCACCACGCCTGGCTGATTTTTTTGTATTTTTAGTAGAGAATGGGCTTCACCATGTTAGCCAGGATGGTCTGGATCTCCTGACCTTGTGATCCGCCTGCCTTGGCCCCCCAAAGTGCTGGGATTACAGGCGTGACCCACTGCACCCAGCCATATTTTTACTTTTCTTAAAATTACAACCATTGCTCAAAATTAGGCCACCTTTAAATCTGCTTCATATTTGGTCCATGCATGTTTTCTGGAGCTATCTCCCCCAACCCCTGCCTTGCTATTTCTTGTTTCCCTTTTTGTTTGTTTGTTTTTTCTAACCACTGAGGGAAGAGACATATGCATCTTTCAGACTTTTGAGATTCTTCATCAAATAATATATGTAATTAACTTTGCTTCTGTCTTGAAGGCCCTTTTCTCCAAGCCCTCCTACGGGGACGGCTGTCAATCTCAAATTTCTTTTCACTGATCTCCTCCGTGGTTCACCGTGAGTTCAGTTGCACGGCATCGTTTTCCTTGAGTTTCTTCTTCATTTTGCCAGAGTGTAACCCTCTCTGTGCCACAATTTTCTCATCTGTAAAATTAGGATATTAATAATGCCATAGTGTTGATGTGAAGATTCTAGGAGTTTTAACACATGAAAAGTGCTAAGAAAAGTACCCGGTGAGTATTTACTGCTCTGTGATTTTTTTTTTTTTTTTTTTTCAGAAAGGGAAGTAAAACTTTGAGTCTTACAACTCTTAAAATATCTTTATTTTCCACTGCCCCACTTGATTGATAGTTTGGAATGTAATTTTAGTTTCAAAATAATTTTCCCTTAAAATTTTTGAATGCTTTGTTCCTTTGTCTTCTAATGTTACATTCTACTGATAAATCTGAGGTCAAGTTACTTCTTATTCTTTATAGGTTTTTTTTCCTTCTATAAATATTTACAGTTGTTATTTGAGCCTTGGGGTTCTGAAGTACTAACAGGACATGTCTAGGTCTTTTTAAAATGCTCTTAAACTCATCTTTCCTGGTACTTGGTTATCTGCTTCTGGAGATAGATTAGGTGATATTGAACCTTCTGGGTTTAGCTTCTTTACATTTTCATTTTCCTTTCATATTTTCTCTCTCTGTGTCTTTTGTAGCTTGTGCTACTGGTCTTTAGTAACTGGGTCTTAAGCTGTGTTCAAATTTTAATTAACCTGTATACTGAATGTTTAATATTCACAAATAGATTCTAAATTGCCAAGATACTTTCTGGTTCTCTGCTTCCTCCTTTCCTCAAGCAGTGAGTTCTTTGGGGATGGCTATAATAGCATAGCCAATCTCTCTGACCATGCCCGTTCCATCTTTTTAAAGTTCTTTTCTGTCCAATAATTATTCCTCTTTTCACCAGGGTCGGTTGTCCTGTTTCTTTATCTAGACTTCTAACAATTTATTTACTTATTTTCTTCAAATGCCTGATGCTTTTGGGTTGAATCTGTGAATGAAGAACTATGTTGGTGAGCAAAGGGAGTTGATGTGGTTTCCTTTGCAAATGTGTGGGTCTGTAAAGCAGAACCGTCTTCCGCTGGCTGGAGGGCTGCCTGCAGGCTCCATGCACATGGGCAGTTCTTGGGGACAGATGTGCTTCCCCAAAGGTGCTAGAGCAGAGAGCAGGCAGGTGTGGGACCTCCCACAATTGCCACCTTCCCCAAACTATCCCAATTCCTCAGAGTGTAAAAACATATCAAGTAAAATAAGGGTAATTTCTTTAGTTGTCTCGTAATGAAAATGCACGTATTAACTGAATTTTATCCTCTTTTGTCATTGAGGGGAGAAGACAGCAAAGCACAATACGAAAAGATGAATGATAATCAAGGAATGAGCGAATTTGTCCAGTTGCGTAAGCGTTGACAGAGACAAAGTAGCGTCGCACTTCTTCATTCACGACTGCAAGTCCTGTGGGTCGTTAATGTTTTTGTTGTTATTGATGTTGACGGTGGGTTGGGCTGGGCCATTCCCACAACAGCATTACTTGTTTCAGAGTCTATTAGCTTGATCAATGCGATCGCCTCTTCCTACCTGATCTTCCCCGCCGGCGTCTCCTCACAGTGTTCTGAGGTTCCTATAATCTCTCCCTATGTCAACCAGTGCCTCTGTGCTGGCAATTCTCCATCTCTAACCTCGATTTCTAGGTGGCTTACCTGGAGGGGTGGTCCAGACCTCCACACCTGAGAGCCTGTGCCCTTGGTCATCATGTCCTCCTTTGGCCGTGGCTGCTGCTCTTGTCCATTCACCATCACGTATGGATGAAAGAGTACAAGACGACACCTCGATGGATCTCCAGAGTGCCGAATGGAGTCTTCTCTGCTCCCATTGTGCAGCAGCTTCATCCTCCTGAGAATCCCCCTGCGATTCCCCAGGTTGGCAGTTCTTTTCCTTGCCTACTGGACGCTTGCTGCAAGGGGCCCAGAGTGCAGACACGGGCCCGTTTTGGGAGCCTGATGTCTGGTTTAGTGTGTCCAGAGTGGTAGGGCACGATGAAGCACAGATTCCTGGAGTGGGAGTAATGGTGTGGTCATGCCTGCATCCAGCCTGTTGTTTTCGAATCCATGTGTTCTACCTGCTGGGGACACAGTACTGTTTGATGATCATTGATTTTGCTGTGTGCCATCCTTGCAGTGGATTAGCTCCAAGCTGGTGTTTCAGCTACATTTTTTTTTTTTTTTTAGATGGAGTCTCACTCTATCACCCAGGCTGGAGTGCAGTGACACAATCTCAGCTCACTGCAACCTCTGCCTCCTGTGTTGAAGCAATTCTCTTGCTTCAGCCTCCCGAGTAGCTGGGATTACAGGTATGTACCGCCATGCCTGGCTAGTTTTTGTATTTCTTAGTAGAGATGGAGTTTCACCATGTTGGCCAGGCTGGTCCTGAACTCCTGACCACAAGTGATCTGCCCATCTCAGCCTCCCAAAGTACTGGGATTACAGATGTGAACCACTGTGCCCAGCCCCAGCTACATCTTTCAAAGACAGTTCCATGGTTTTATCAGGCCAGCAGCTTTCTGGATGGTGGGAGGACCCAAAACGATGGCCACGGATCTCATGATCCCATGCTGTGCCACCTTTGTTGCAAGGTCAGACACTTCGTCTTATGTAGTGTTTTGTGGGATCCTGTGCTGGCAAATCAAACATGCCATGGGCCCTTGGGCACGGAGCTGGCTGAAGCCCTTGGGCAGGAAAGATCAGGCTGTAAGTGGATGATGCTTTGATTCTAGTCAACAAATTGCCTGTTGTGTCAGCACCATGGTGGCAGTGACAGGGGCTGGCAGCACCTGGCCAGTTGCACACTTGGGTGCTTAGTTCTTCCCAGTGGTGCTCACGCTCCTGGGGGTGTGAACACGCTCTGCACCCATGCCCAGTACCCATCATGTGCTGGTCCCATGAGCTTACCTCAATCTTCTGATCTTGCTTTCTTCTCCAAAGCAGCCTGCCAGGTGTCCCACATGAATGCAGCCTGTTCTGGTTCTCCTTCCTGATAAGGGTGGAAAAGAATGTATTTACCGGGTACAGGCTGCATTCCTGGGCCACAGGCCACCGAGCTCACCTGCACCAGGAAAGCTGCTCCCTGCCAGTTACAAACAGCAACTGCCCGGTTGAATTGCAGATGTCCATTGTCATCCTCTAGAGTCTGTCGGGATTTTCTAGGGCCAGACATGAATTAAATAGGGGTGTGCTGGGTGTAGCTGCCACATCCTCTAGGTGTTTCGTCTCTGGCATTTCCTCTGGGATGTGATATTATTTTTGATTTCCTGCATTGGTGTGTGTCTCTGGGAGTGGGGGCCTCTACTTGAACTTCTCCATGGGGAGTTCCTACCACCGACTTCTAGAAACTGATGTGGCAGTTTTACCAGTTTCAAAAGTCAGTTTGAATTCTACATTTGGAGGCTGGGGAAAGGGCTCCTGGTTGGGTTTATGGACCCAGGGGAGTCACTGTGAGCTGGATTTGGTTATCTCTTCCTTTAAAACTGGCCCCTGCACACCTCCACTCTAACAGAGGGTTCAGGACCAGGCCTAGGTCCCTAGGTACCAATGTCACCTCAGATCCTGTGCCCAGTGGTCCTCAAATGGCATGTGTCTCTTTGTGGGTGGTCTGGGGGAGAATGTTTGTGTAGACACTGCTGTGATGTTGGAAGGTCCTTCCTCCCGGGGCCCACCCTCTCCCTCAGTCAGTGGGTTCCAGGTCTGAAAATGAGCTCACTCCAGGGCTGAAATATGGGTTTCTATTGGTCAGTTTCCTGCAGTCTCTTGACCAGTTTTCCTTGAGAAAAGCTTTTGTTAAGGGTGTGTGGATTGAGAGGTGTCCTTTTCCGCTGCTGTATATCTACCCCTCTGCAGATGTGTTCATTCCTGCCACCGGGTCAAGTGCTCCAGGTGCCACTCCAGGCTTGATGCCCTGTGTCAGTGTGCCTACCTTGCTCCCTGCCAAATGACACACTAGCTTCTATTGTTGTGGGATTCCATTGACCTCCTTTGCATTCAGGAGTCCAATTCTGTAGCAACAGCATAGCTGCCCTGCGTGGTTCTGCAGGCTCCCTCTCAGCAGTGCGTTCTTTACCTGGTTGGTAACTGGCATGTTCTCTGGTTGAAGAGCGTGGCTGACTTTCCGAGCTGATGTGCTGGACCTGCTCTAGAGGCCACACTCCTCTGAACCTTTCTGTCCCTTCCTTCATGGGCAGGAGGGCGGCCCAGGCATTTCTGCTTAACTTAGTGTAGACTTTGCTTCCTTTAAGCTCCTAGGAGCCCTCCTAGAACGCGTTAGCACTACTTAGGGGCCTTGCCAGAGTTTACAATGATGGATCATGGAAGCACAGGCCCACAGTGATAAACTCTCCCTATTCCAAGCTTAGGTTCTGCACGTCTTAGTCGTGTACCCTCAGAACCCAGCCCCACACATTCTACTGGTTCCTGCCCATGCCTCTCGGTGAGGCCTCGCATCTTCTCTGGGGGCCTTTCTTCCTGTAGCAGGCACTTCCTGCACTTCTCCATCTATGTACTGCTGTGACCTGAACCTCATGATCAGCCCGGCTAGCGGGAGGGGAAGTAGGGGCAGAGGCCCAGGGGTGCATGCATCAGGGAGATGCCCACATTGTCTTGTGGGGCAGAGCTTCTGCAGCAGGGGTCCCCAGTCTTTCCGGCACCAGAGACTGGTTTCATGGAAGACAATTTTTCCATAGACTGGGGGTGGGGGGTGGTTTCAGGATGATTCAAGCATATTACATTGATTGTACACTCTATTTCTATTATCATTACATTGTAATATGTAATGAAATAATTATGCAACTCACCATCATGTGGAATCAGTGGGAGCCTGAGCTTGTTTTTCCGCAACTAGGTGGTCCCATCTGGGGGTGATGGGAGACAGGGACAGATCATCAGGCATTAGATTCTCATAAGGAGCATGCAACCTAGATCCTTCGCCTGTGCAGCTCATGACAGGGATTGCACTCCTATGAGAAGCTAATGCTGCCGCTGATCTGGCAGGAGGCGAAGCTCAGGTGGTGATGCTCACTTCCCCGCTGCTCACCTCCTGCTGTGTGGCCTGGTTCCTAACAGGCCATGGATGGATACTGGTTCATGGCCCAGGGGTTGGGGACCACTGCCCTGCAGCATTTTCAAGCAGGGGCGGAGCACTAGCCTTTAACAAGGAGGAGAGAGACCCTTCTGCAAAGCCAGAGTGTTCTCACATTTGTTGGGGGGATGTTGATCTGGATGTCCCCATCCCAAATATTAGAGTCCCACTCCTTTACAACCAGGTCCTCTGCTGGCATGGCAGACTTGTCAGGGCTGAAAGTTCAGCCATCTCTGGAGCTCTTTTGCCCTTGTAATTCAAGCCTAAGGCAGCTCTTCAGCTTTTCCTGCCATCTGACTGAAGGAGATGTGAGCCTACCTACTTATATGCTGCCAGGAAGGTTCTCTGACTTGCATGCTTCACCTTAAGTTGGTGATTAATAACTCTCGGGCTTTCATTGTCTTTCTCCAATGATGCCACTGAGCGACAGACATTCAATTCCATTATCCTTGTGATGACTGCTTCCTCAGAACCTCTCCAGGGTCTCAGACATTATACTTGTGGCATCTGTCCAGTTTCCCACTGGTGGAAGCTCTCACAGTTGCATACCACAGCCTGATGGGAGCCTCCGGTATTCTGCCTGCCATGGTGTCAGGCCTCATTGCCAGCTGTGCATGTTTAGGGGGTGAATGCTGTGCTCTCCAATGCCAAATTCTCTCTCGATGGCTTTTTATAGATGCTCTGTAATGGATCGGGCACTCTGGGAATGTGATGGGGGTGCCATCCTTCAGCTCTTTCTTGAATGAACAGTACATGATGCACGTGTGTTCTCTCTGCATTGCTATTAATCCATGTCTGTCTGTGTATACGGAGGACAGGGCAGACACCTGCCAGTGCTGAGGTGGTAATTCCACTGGGAGTGACTAGGTCTCTGGAGAAGACCTAGGAGCCTTCAGAGCCCAGAAGAGAGGAGAAGCTTAGGCAAAGAATGGAGTCATAAGGACTTACTTCAGTGAAGATAGAGAAAGACAAGATTTGAAGATCTGGTGAGTCAATAGCTTTTATGCTGCATAGAAATTTATATTTTTTCAAGATTTCTAAAAAACATATAATAAATCCTTTAATACTCACCATCAAACTAATAAAGCTACACTATTTGGTATCACTTTGCCCTGGAAAAGACCTTGGAATAACTTCTTGAGATGTTTACCATGACACCCCCCAACCTCTCTGTTCTACCATCCCATTGCACTTCATTCCTTCCTGCCTCCTTCCTTCCCTCCTGCCCTTATTTACCTCTTGCCTCCCACCCTCCCTTCCTTATACATTCATTGAGTGCCTACCTCAGGTAATGCGTACTCCAGGTCAGGTACGGCCTGGTTTCGGGATCACAAAACTACAATGGTCTGTTTGGTCCTTTCCCAGTTACCTCGTCAGTGAGAGGACGGCTTCTGAGAACTTGAGATTTCCAGGCCCCATTCTGCCACGTTCCTTCTCTGATGCATTTGGGGCTCTTTAGATGAGTTTCTCTGCTTCTATAATGGATGAAATAATACATTACATCAATTTCAGGAGCATTGGTTAGTATTTATAAAGAGTGTTGAACAAGCAAAGTATTCACCAAATGTGAATTTAGATTCGAACACGTTTTCTTGAGTTTCAGTGATTTCTAGCATGTTGCCTGGCAAGGCAACTTAGTTATAAAATGTTACCACCTGCATATATTTTGCATACATTTCCTCATATTAAAAAATCTCATTATGGAAAACTCATAGAGTTATCCTTTACACAGGAAATCACAGAGAAACATGCAGGCCTGGCGGCTGTTTTTTTATGCAAAAGTCGATGCATA